TAAATAAATAAATAAATAAAATAAAAAGGTCTGGGATGTAGCTCAGTGGTAGAGCACTTGCTTGGCATGTGGAAGGCCCCAGGTTCAATTTCCAGCATCACAGAGAATGGGGAGATCCAACTGAGAAGATCTCCATTTAAAAAGGAGCTAGAAATGAATCCTGTTCTGGAATATACATCACAGTACATCAGCCTCAAGAATTTAGTTATTTGTGAACTAAAAATTTTAGTGACATAGCCAAGACCTCCATATGTAAAATTTAGAACTGAAGGAAGTCACATCTGAAAGGGACAGATTTCTTCTAGATTTCATATAAGATCAGAAATCCAAAAGAGATGATTGTACATTTCTATTTCTTTGAATTCTATGATATCCAAAAATATAAAACTCTAGGAAAACACATTAGAAAGGGGAGATAATATCCTGACTGGTTTGGTTTAAACTGTCAGCAAATGTAACATCAAATACCTAAATAGCACAAGCTGAATAATTTATTTAGATGCAACAGAGACTCCTCATCTATATACCTTAATTTTGTGGTATCTTGTATGCAAAAGTAACAACTGCAAACGGATCTTTTCTTTCTTATTATCCTCCATAGGTTGACGTAACATTTGTTCTCCTCTTTGTAGAACTTCCTCAATCTGGGCTCTCTCTTCATCCATCTGAATGTTGGAAAGAAAAATATTATTCAGAAGACCAGAAGTACAGAGACACTACTATAAGTTTCCAAGTAGGAGAACTAACCTATGAGGTTCAGGGTTAAGTCAAGAGACGTTAATCTGAATGATGAAACAACTCGTGGTTCTCTTCAAATAATTTATATTTGAAATTAAAATATCTCAAAGCTAGTTAAGACCAAGTTAGCTGAAGAATTACTTTTAGTCAGAAAACATGGGTTGTGTGTATGTTTGTGTTTAAGGATCACATAAAGCACTTGAAAAATCCACTAATGACACTCAGAAAATCCCCTTTAGATTTCTTCAGTTATGCTTGAAAGGTTGTATGGATAAATATTATTGATATAAAAATATAACTGAAGGAAAAGAAAAATGAGAACACCATAGTTTTTGAAAATCTGTTGAACAAACCTCTTCATTGCCATCACTGTATTCCAAGTGTTTTTCCACAATTTTTAACATACTTTCTACATCCTTTTCTAGTTTATCCAAGTCAGAGAAAGGCATAGCAGCTTCAAATTCTTCAGTGGTGACCACATACTGGTAGGATGTGGGTTCCTGGTCAATTAGCAACTGTAGAAGGAAAAGAGGTCTCTGAAAATATAGTCTCAGCTTGACTCTTCGTAACTCCTCAGAGAAGAGGTGGCAAGAGAGGAACTAACATTTACTTGAATTTGCTTTAATTTAATTCATTCATACAGTGATGATTGTATTGATATAGGCTTCTCTGAATTGTCCATTTCCTAAACATGAAACAGAGGTGGGGATGCAAGGAGACCCCAGTCCACTGTTTCCCAATTAAGTATCCCCAGAAGAATTCTCACTGGATTTTGATACTGGAACTTCAAAGAAAGACATAGTTCCCAACCCAGTATTTTCAGATAACATTTGTATAGAAAAACTTCACATTTGTGCACTAGAAATCTGGCTGACATGTCCAATTTTAATAAAACTAAATGTAGGAAAATAACATCTAGTGTTGCCTAACTATGAGAAACTAGCATTCTTGCACCCCAATTATGGAAGTATGAATTGGCACAAATTTTCTCCTGGGCTATTTGAAATCTCTCTTCAATAATCTTTATATGCACACATTTTCACAAAAATTGCAAGGAATTCTGAGAATCGATCTGAAGGGCACATTAAGAGTTGAGCAAATAAGCACAAGATGACTTTAACAAATATAACATTCATGGACGGTCACTAAAAGTGGAAAGTTAACTTAGAAAATGATAACAGAACACCTAGTGGAATACTCCACTACCATTAACAAACCATGTCAAACAATAATATACAAAATTACAGCTGTACCACCGGCCCCAGCACCAAGTAGCAGAGCTACCCTCAGCACCAAGGAGGTGCCTTCTGGGCTGCCATACCACCGCCCCCAAGGCAAGGAGCAGAGCTGCCCCCAGAGCCAAAGAGGTGAGTTGTGCAGGCGCCAGCAGCACACCACCCCCCCCACCTTGGAATGAGAAGACACGTAAACAAGTCTCAAAACCAGACTCTGAGATCACCTAAAGCAACCCCAAAGGGAAACAAGATGGAACAATCTGATACTCAAGCACCTAGACTCCCTGAACTGGCAACAAAAGAGGATCTAGAAAAAATAAAATCAGAAATAATTTCTCTGATAACAGCAGAGATTGTGCCCACAGTGCAAGACATGATTAATAAATCCAGAGAGGAGCTGAGGAACATGATGGAATCCCAACATAGGAAACAAATGAAATCCATAAAGCAGATGCAAACAGATTTCAAGGAAATTAAAAACTCCATTGAAAGTCTATGCAGCAGAATGAGCCAACATGAGGACAAAATTTCAGATATAGAAGATAAGATTGCAATTAGTGACCAGGAAAAGAAAAATTTTTTTAAACTAGTAAGGGATCATGAGAAATCAATCCAGCAGCTGCTAGATGATGCAAAGAATAACATAAGACTGATCAGAGTCAATGAAGAAACAGGAGAGTGCAGAAGACATAAAAAAAAAGCTGTTCACAGAAGTGATGGCAGAAAACTTCCCAAGCAGGGGAAAAGAACTTGACATACAGATAAGGGAGGTACATAGGACTCCAAATAGCCTTGATCAAAAAAAAAAAAAAATCGACACATAGGCATATAATAGTTAAGATTCCAGAAACCCAACAGAAGAACAAAATTCTACAAGCAGTTAGAGAGAAGAAACAAATCACATACAAAGGAAAGCCCATCAGAATCAC